GAACATCAACAGAAACGACCTGTACGCGGCCGGGAACGCAGCTATTTTACACCTACACAATCCAAACAAAAGTCAAAAAGTCAAAAGAACAATGATGGCGATGTATCTATATTGCCTAACAGTTTACCACGCTTTGTGCTTGTCAAAAGAATCCTTCAACACACGTGCTGCCGAGCAAAGACCACGCTCTCGCTTAATATTGTTTAACCAACTATTTCTATTATTCTAATTAAGCAGCACCTTTCTATTGTCTCGGGGGGCTTGTACAGACAAGATTCCTTTCAATACAATCACTTCGGCACGCCTGGGAGTCTAATCCCTTGAGCTGCTCGATCACCTCTTGTTTGAAACTCCCAGCGTAAATTACACGTCTGCTGTTTATTTATGGCAGAGAGCCGCTAATCAAGATCACAGCTCTGAGTTCCGATGGAGCTCACCCGAACAATATTTAAGCTCGATTCATCCGAAGAGTGTGCTCGCTGCCGACAACAATTCAATAAGTTTGCCAACTAATTAAAAGTCAACGGTCGTCTTAGAACACGCGTTGATAAGGCCAACGTAATTATCGAGGGGTCGCGACTACGAACCTCATAGCTCCCTTAAACGCTATAAGCAAACATCCAGTGTATTTCGCTGCGTATATTTCGCGATTAGAACGCGCGGCGATATTCCTACAGAGAGTGAAAAGCGAAAGTGTGAACGACTCGCGTGGCTCGTGTAGTGCGAATAATAGACCATCGAAAAGATCTCACAGCGCAAACAAAGGCGTAAATATTCATGAGTTAGGCGACACGCTATCTTGTTAAACATCGCTTTATTTTTGGCGGCAAAACCGCGTGGGCGCACGTTTTATCACACATGTGATGGAACTGGCACTACGCGCCCACTTTTGGCGGGAGTTGCTTTGTTTGCGTTACAGGTTGAACACATGTCATGGCTATCAATGAAATTCCATTGAATCATCAAACCAAACGCTATTGGCGCCATATGCAGATAATTTTACTATAAACGTCAACTTCTCAGAAATAACTATGTCAGTGTTAAATATTCCTTAGAACAATTCGTATATACTCAAGGCACAATTCACAGAACTTTGAATGGAGTTTGCAGTTTAAATTTCTTCATTTATTGTTATGGAAATTGAACAACTGATCCACGGAGTTGACGCTAACTTAAGCATACCATGAAAGCAAAACCCTTAAGTTGCTTGAACATGTGGTCTGCGTTGAAATGCTCAAAGCCAAAATAAATTGAATTATCAAAGCCCATTGAAAACACACTGGGGGTCAATTGAAACAACAAAATTCCACCGGTAGGCCACTTGTCTTATGTTTAACAATCCTTCAACTGGTAGACTAGACACCTGTGAAGATATCAGCTCGTGAACTTGACCGACTAGCGACTGTCTTTGTTTAAAGTTATACAACATCGCAAGAAACACTGAGTAAATGATTTTTCAGTTATTACCGCTATATCGCGAGCCAGCCTCGCACCATAGGTGTACTAACGCAATGTTATCAAAGAGAGAAAGAGAGAGATTCATCAGCCTTGCTAGTGATTAGAATCATGACAACAATTTTAAACTCCAGCGCTTCGGAAACGAGCTGTAAAACAATTTGCTTTTTGGATTGTTAGCCAACGTGTTGCGACTTGTATTCCTGTCAATGAAACCGAAAACTAAACCTATACACGCTAGTTTCGATTGAATAACAAGCCCGACAGCATACACATCAGCAATAAACCTTAAGCTTAAAAAGAATGAACCGAAATGAAGTTGACGCGCGATTACTTTGCGTGTAACGTGTTTGCAAAACAAAACAAAACAAAGCAAAACAAACAAATTGAAAAACAGAGGGAAGTGAAGCGAAAGTTTGTGGTGACTGCGTCTGACAGCTACAATGAGTCACCTGAGTATAATACAACCTGCAAATAGCGGAAAAGCTAAAAGCTATTTCTATTAATCTATTTAATTAAAACTCGGAAATATCTCTTTAAGGGAACGCCCTTTGGGTAAGCAAATTAATGGAATTAAACCACGAATAACCTTTATTGTTTAGGTTTTCTCAGAGATAACTGCAAACTAATAACATAACATAAATAAATACGCACTGAACTTTAAAACAATTTCATGGCAACAGTTAATGCTATTAAGGAAGCTAAACATAATTATACACTAGATGAACTTAAGTAGTCCCACAAGGATGCGAGGAATCAATAAACATCATGAACATCTTTCAAAGCTGAACGAGCTTTTTGTTGAATTGAAAAAGTCAAAAACGCGGTGTTCACGTGGAACTTCAGAAGAGTTGAAGCCAATATATAATAGTTTTAGCAGTCAACAAGTGATCACAGAGTTAATATGCTCACTCACTCACTCGCTCGCTCGCTCGCTCACTCACTCGCTCGCTCGCTCGCTCGCTCACTCACTGATTAACAAGGATTTGAGAAGCACCGGAATATATTGAGCGTGAGAAACGGTCCGCCTGATATCAATGAATAGATACCTGCAGCAACCAGAGCTTAACAGAAAGACGCTAAAAACAAAGCACAAATCCATGTACAACTATAAAACCATCCATTATTTCGCATGTATATCAAACAGCCTCGAACAAAGGCCGGCCACAAGTTCCTAAACACGCACAGGTGTTAATAACGCGTAGCACCGCAAAGAAGAAAGGAAAAAAGAAACTGGGTAAAAAAAACACAAACCTTAAAGTTTTTATACAGTAACATTTTTCACTGAAATAACAAGCGCCTAATTAGCGCGCTTGCGGAGCGTGGGAAAAAACCCTAGGTAGGTATGACTACACGGCGTGGCGAGTCTTAATGGTAATTCCATGTCTTCGTAAAACAACGCGGATCTAGATGACAAGTAAGCCACCAGTATGTATCGCGTCTTCATTCAAAATAATTACCGCCACTAATAAATTAACGGAGGAGACTCAGTAAAATTAATTTATCGACCGTACACGCGGCGCGCGAGGGATTATTTAGGAGTGGAGAATACAATCGTGCCACCCGACAGCACCTGTAGATCAGCTGCGTTCTGTCCGCAAAAATACTGGCGAAAAATAAAGTACATACACAGCCTAGCCGTGAGAGAGCTAGCCGGGCCACCCGAACTCAACAGTCTCTTCTAACGCAGCCCAAACCAAGGTATAACTTATAAACAAGCTAGCGATTCGCCGCAAATATGTCGGTTAGAAAACCCCTCCCTTCGAATCGATTGCGAATGACGCGTTTGAAAAAACAACAACGTGTTTATGTTTTTCTTAAGTGGACACGGCCGCTAAGAAGGGTGTGGGCTTTGCTTGAATGCGATCAGTGGTCACCGGGTTGAAGCCGGCACAGTGTTATGACACAAAACTAAAACAAGTCAGCAAGCATGCGGTGTGAGCCATTTAATGACATGCGGATAGCGATGGTTCACGCACGTGTGGCATGTGTGAGCTGAGTATAAACAAAGCGTCAAAAAACGCTTGCTTGCTTGCTTGATAAGAAAACACAGTCGACAGGCTGACGAGGGAAGGCTGAACTCTCGATGTATTTATCGCGAGAGAGATTAATTATGATACCAGTGGACAAAAGTCAACTGGCAGAGAGCTGAGGTATGCAGAGTGCAGTGGAAGCTATCCCGATGCGGCGGCTAAAGATGATGTTTAGTGATAAACGCGACAATATATATTGGAGCCAACGCACCTAGCGCTGAACAAAGCACTTGAGCGTCTAAGCAGCTTCTCCAAACACCTGCTGTAAACAAACAGAGAGTCAAAGCATCCATGGCTAGGTTCCAGCTTCCTTACCATACAGTGTGCGGTTAATTCAACAGGGGGGTCGATACATGCGGGAACCGTGATCAAAATATCACTTTCAGCTTGAGATCGAAGCAGCTGTTGAGTTCCTTGATTTCTTAAGGGGTACAAAAGCGAGAGAAAACGCTGCATAGAGCATGCAAGATTCACACATTCCTTATTTTGACAGCTGAAAAACAGCAGTTGAACGTCACCCACATCATTTCTCACACACACAGAGTTCTAACCTCGCTACAAAAAGCGAACCATACAAAAAGGAAATATTTTTATTGACGATATCAAAACGTAATTTAATGAGAAACATTATTACTAAGCCAGACAAAGAACTGGAACATGTTATGATGCCAATCATCTCAGTAGTCGATGTAAAAATTCAAAACGAATCACTTTTAGGGCATTAACACCATCAAAATAGTTAAAGGAGCTACGTCACGGATGGCGCATCTTGAAAAAATTGGCCAATTTTTCAGTTCAAGTTTGTCGTTTGCAATCCGTCTTAATCTTCTCCATCCTCGACCATGCTTGTTCCTGTTTGGTTTCTTATTACCTCTTTGGTGTTTTCTACCTTAGTAAACTATTATTTTGAGGCTTTCTTCAGTTTGAAGGTGATTTTGCACTTCGTAAAAATGACTTAAAATATCGTGACATAGCTCAGTCCTTTTAAGGTGGTGGAGGGAGACAACAAAAATGGAATAGAAAAAGTGCAGAAAATTAAGAGAAATCAACTCGACAAGTAAAAACTGTGAACTGGAAACACTCTTGTTAAAGATGGATACATTACAATAAAAAAATATTAAAAAATAGTGAACTAAAAGTGCCAAAAGTTTTACAAATAAATCCAGACGTTTCTGGCTTTGCCCTTCATCAGTGGAATTATGTCCGTTAGATGGATCTTGAGCCGATATTTTGAATTGTTTCAGTATATTTGCAAGGTTTACAATAATATAGGACTGTAAATCACCGTTAGTACGAGCCACAGTTTACGTAGACCGCGGGTTTTTTAGTTTTTTGTTTATACGTGGTGTAACAAGTGTGGATTATATCCAGTTTACACCACAAGCGCTGTCTAAACTTCGGCCCTTGTAAGGTAGTCTGTGTATTCTTGCCATCTCACTGTCAGCATTTTCGCGCGTGGAGGCTTTGAGAATATACCTCGAGAAAGCCTTAATAATTGAGAAAGATATTATACTCTTTAAAAAGGAGTCAAACCTTATAACCTTCCGCACACCGGTCGGACGCTCTACCACTGAGCTACAGGAGACTTGTGGGAGCTAAGACCATATAACTAGGTTCAAATGTGACAAACATCCCGCATACTGCTAGGACTAGATTTGTCGATGAGTGAGAAATGATGGTATATTTTAAGCTTGGTAGAAATATGAGAAAGATATTATTCAGTCAGTGACATAAGCTACCTTAAAAATTGAGGTATTCAAATACGTATTTAGAGTTTTCTTTAAAAAATAAATAAAAGATTTCTTGGTAATTTTGCGAAAAGAAGCGATATTTACTCGTTCGCCTTTATCTTGTTCGTATATACGCCTCGATTATCGGATCAACGTGGTTTTAACCACGATGTTAAAACATCGGACATGTTTCATGCGGCACACTGACATTGCCTGGAGTGTCTCCGATTTCTAACGATGTCAATGAGGCGTCCCTCCCCAAAAGTATAAGGTGGGGTAGCTGCGTTCTGTAGGATGCGAGTCGCAGAGACCAAAGACGATGTTTGAGAGGTGCATTGTGGAACGGGGGGGGGGGGGGGGGGGCACCCATATAAAAGTGACGGGTGTGATCGTCGGAATTTTGGAAAATGACCCCTAAAAGGTACCAAAATCTCGTTTAATGGTGTGGCTCGGATTCATTTTCACCCCTAAGAGGTATCAATTCTAAAACAACACTAGTTCTTGTCATATTTTTTTTCCGGCTTAATGCCCTAAAAGGTACCGGAATATAACCTCTAACGGTAGACATTTTAGATTTTAACACCCTAAGCGGTACAAAACCACGAATTTTAACCCCTAAAAGGTACGACGATCACCCCCGTCGCTTTTATATCGAAGACCCCCCCCCCCCCCCCCAACCACCACCACCACCCCCCCCCCCCCGGAAGATTAAAGATGTTTTTAAAAGGATAACAAATCTAACCTAAAGCCGGCGAGTCAAAAGCCTAACACATTGTAACACACCGGCAAAAGGATAATACGGTCCAGTAAAAAACACGAACTGCTAATGAAAATCGAAGGGTCACCGTTGCTCGTACAAGAAGGCTATGAGAGGTTTTCTGAAACATTTATTAATCGGGTCTCCTTATTTTCCTTCCACTTAATAACTTTTAAAATAAAGGTATTATAAATAATAAATTATTGCATTATGGTGTTTTCTTGTGCAAACTGCAAACGAAGTACGATTAAATAAGTGCAATGCAAACGAGCAAGTTTTTGATCCTTATTTGCTCATGTGTACAGTCTCGTACACAAGAGCAATTTTCGCGACTCGTTGAGTTTCCTTCAAAAATTGGCATGACAGCTTTTTAACAAGGAAAGTGTCAAGATAAATCATGTTGTGTTTTGTCTAGACTGCGAAACAGTTTCTCTTTTTCTCTCTCGAGATATTGATGCGTGACGCGAAATCTAGTTAAACATTTTCAAGAAATCTTGGCTCACTGGAACACAACCGGTGTTGGTTTTGCATTTGAGTGGCTGACAGGACAGCAGCATTCAAACCCCGTTTACACGGGCACGGTTTCATTTGTAACCACATTATTTTCAATGCAGTTACGCCTTCCGTTTACACCGGCGATGATGGAAAACCGTATTGTTTGAAAACGCTGTCAAAAGTGGAGCGTTTTCAAAACGATACGGTTACGAGGCCGGTGAAAACGGGGTAACCGTGTTGTTTTGAAAACGCGGGAAAAGCCGGGTGAATCTTGGCGGGAAGAATCTCCATTGATCAAAATGGTGGACGTGCATAGACGTGCAATGCTTTGCTTTTGCCGTCACGACTTTACTTTGAGGTATAGCTTCTCTATATTAGCTCGTTTAGCCATGTTGAATAAAAATGGCGGCGCTGCAAGGTATTATCGTGTCCAGATCCCTGCTAACAATGTCACGGCCACGACGTAACAGGACCGAAACGAAATGTAACCGAGTTGATTTGAACGCGTCCGTTGTAAAATGCAGCCTCGGGTTTTGACCAAGTAAGCACATGAACAGAGAGGTTTTCTCATGGCTGTCATAAAATCAAACCAAAGTAATCACTCTGGCCAATCACAACAAAACCAAAAAAAACAATGAACCAATCAGAAGTCGAAGTAAAAACATGCAACATGCCAAGCGCGAGAAAACGTGTAACCGGTACCAAGGGCGGGAAAACGTGCAACCGGTACCAAGGGCGGGAAAAACGTGCAACCGGTACCAAGGGTGGGAAACGTGCAACCGGTACCAAGCGCGGAAAACGTGTAACCGGTACCAAGGGCGGGAAACGTGCAACCGGAGTCAAGCGCGGGAAAACGCGCCACCCGTGCCAAGCGTGGGAAAACTCACATAAGACAAGTCATGATTGGTTTAGGTTTTGCTCCTGATTGGTTGAAAAAAAAGTTTTCTCTGATTGGTTGGAGCATGTTGCGTGACTTTTTCTAACCAATCAGAGAGCTCAACAACGCAAACTGTTACTTCTAACTGCTCTACTTTGGAAAGTCCTTTAGGAAAAGCACTCTAAAACGACAATAATTATAAAGTCAATAACCAATCAAAAGACACTATTGAGCGTCTTACCTGTAAAGAGGTTTACTTCTTCCTATCGGGGGACCAGTCTCACAGGAAAGAAAGAATAACTGAAAATCAATTAAAAGGAAAAATAAGTCCAATGGAAGCATGATGGAAGCGCCAGGACAATCACGTGGGTGTCCAGTTACAGCTCGCGTCAATTACGCGCACTTAAATGGTTTCTTTCTTGTTTCTCTACACTGTTTGTAAAACTGATGGTATATATCACTGACGTTTTCACTAAAATGTTCTCACAGACTTTCTAGCTTCAAATTGTGTTACATTGATACGATTAATTGGTAATTGGACCTCTTACCCTACTGACAAGTCAGAGAGTAATCATTCTCGTGATTTCAAATCGAATTTCGAAGAATTATTCGCCCGATTACTCTCTGAATTGTACTTCATTCAGCCCAATTCAGACCAATTACTATTACCCTTCCAGTTTCCCGGGTCCAGTTTGATCATCCTTATGCGTTTTTCTACATTTTGAAATCACTGATTACTTTAGAGCGGTTTTCAATTGAGTGTGACTGTCTAAAGTAATATGCGTTTGCTTTGGTTGCTTTACTACGCTCTCTGGTTGGTTCGAAAAACTCGCGCCAATTTCTTAACCAATCAGATGCCAAACTAAAACCAATCGTGACTTGGTCGCACGCGTTTTCCCGCGCTTGGCGTCGGTCACGTGATTTGCTTCGAATTCTGATTGGTTCTTTGTTTTGCTTTCGTCTGTTGTGATTGGCCAGAGTGATTACTTTGGTTTGGGTTTTACTACACTCAATTGAAAACCGCTCTATTTGAGTTTCATTCGTTTGTATCAGAAGCTTATCACTAAGCTTCTGTTTGTATGTATAAAACAATTATATGATCGCTAAACAGAGCGTGACCTAGCCGCTCCAAAGGAAAGCTTATCAATCTATTAGACAATATTTGGAGGCGTTACATCAGTACCAGACAAAAAGCGAGACAAAAAGCGAGACAAAAGCAATGATCGAAGAGGCGAGCTCAACAATCTTTGCTTGTTCCGTGTCCACATGTGGTCAACCCGCCCCTCGACACCACTCAGCCGTTCATTACACGCATCACTGCTAATTAAACAAGGTGACCAGAACTAATAGCAAAGTTAATGACCCGAAAATCGCCCCAACATGACTTTGGAGAGTCAGTGATGCAGAGATCCCGTTGATGATCTCGGCGGCGCAACACAGCATTCACCTGTAATATTTGGCATTCTCGCATAAATTGGCATGGCGTCTCACTCGCTCGATGTCTAAATCCGCTGTTTCAAAAACTGCACAAGTGTGAAGTGCATTGAAATCCTTTGCTACGCCACTTGAAACTGCATTATTGAGTTCTAATCTCCAAGTAAAGGGGGAGAGGGCAAGCTTCGATGGACAGATGGAAATCAATCAACAATCAATCGATTGAACGATCTTTGATCAGTGCGGCATGACTTTTCATCCTTTCATTGGTCTAAACAGATTTCAGTTGAAACGAAATATGCGTTTTACACGTGTATGCAGTTTTATACCTTAAACATGTTTTGCAGTTTTATGCAATAAGCCGTTTTACAGTTCATGAGATGAATCAATGCTTCTCCGTTTGGCGGAATTTAAAACACACTCAATGACCCACTCTTTCGAAATAAGCTAGCAGTGCATGACAAACAAAACCAACTTACCGGCCGTTGTAGCTGTCAGCGTCAAGGTCTACGGCTGGTTCTCTACGAAGCGACGACTCTTATTCCGGCTTCCTACCCTTGATGCAACCAGGTTATATCCAAGACTGGCTTCTTCCTGTATATTGTGTGTGACAAGCTTAGTTATCAGGCGATGCTTCAGAATTGAATAGGGAATTATAAGAGATGGCGATGGCGCGTGCCAGCACGTGCTCAAAATGAAAAACATTGCATGTGAAAGCAACTTGTTTGTTGAAAGCAACTCGTTCATGCCACTATTAACATCCATTCCAAGGCCGGCGGAAATGTTGGTTATAGCATGCAGCCTTTACTCCACGAAACACGAGCTGAGCCCATTCCACGAATAACAATTAGACCATTTCCGAGTTGCTTTAAGCCTCTGTTTCAAAACGAGTCCTGGTGCACAACCTTTCATATGGAAATGAGTTTAATTAGAAAGACAATGAACGTGCAAGTCAAACTCATTTTCATATGAAAGGTTGTGCACCAGGACTCGTTTTGGACCAGAACTCGTTTTGAAACGGCAGAGGCAAAAGGCAACTCTGAAATGGCCTATTATCGCCTATTATTATATAGACACGAGTGTTTTACTGGAAAATAGACCATTCATAAAATTCATACGAAACTACATCCGGGACCCGAGTGGCGTATTTTCCATATCCTCACTAGTGACTAGTGAGGATATCGATGACGTCATTTCCCGCTTTTGCATGGCTTTTTGTGTAAAGCTGCCAAAATGGTGAGCGATAGATTCGTGAAATTCACTGAAGCCGACATGAAATCGTTCAATGAGGA